AACTACTCCTGAAAGAGTATGAAATCATATTCAAATTAAAAATTGTGTATAGCAGAATGTCAAAATTTAGATTCAGCTTATCAATGGAACAACTGAGCATCAACACTGATAATCATTAGGGTATCTTTAAAGCTAAAGCACAAATTACGTTAAGGTTCTATGTGTGCAATCTGCATCAATGCAATTCACCTAAAACCACACTAATAAAACTGGTTTAAGAGGCAAACTTAGGGTAGCACAACTTTTCAGGTAGGTTAAAAAAAAAATCTCGAACCAAGAGATGATAGGAATTGGTGATCTGCTGGCAGTGAGATACGAGATGAATGAAGAGTGATATGGGTACTGTGGGGCTGCCTTTCTTTCCACACAAAATTCTTTTGGTTTTAAGTCATTTAGAGAAGATAGATTTGAATGTGAAAACTCATGATGCTCACAAATACCTTAATCCTTTAGTGATACTGATGTATATGAACTTAATAAAAGTGATCCTTATGTAATATAAACAGATATTCTTATCAACAATGACAGTTAATCATTGACTCCTTGATAAATATTAATCAGGGATGACTTCCAACTAATCTTTACAACGTGCAAACATAATGAGGATTACATGAGGTCATTTTCCTGTTTCTACAACATGCCTCTCACTTTGCTACAGCTACAAAACCTTCTAAATATTCATGGCGTATTTTTCAAAAGTCTTCTAGACTCTATGTTTATATAAAATGTTCTGCTTACTTCTCCAAGGGTCCCCTGAGGGTGAACACTGGGAAAAATATGCTGATTCCTGCTCCTAGCTGACATCTGTATTCAGGTTACCCTCATAACAATGTGACTGTCACTGGGGCGGTTTTCAACCCAGTGCTTACCAAATGTAAGCTTACTCCTCTAAGGACAGAATCTGCACAACATCTCATTTTATCACATCAAACTAAACTCTAAGTTTGCTTGTTTGTTTTTAGAAAAACCTAAGTATTTGGGTCATAGTGAATTTACCAACCCTTACATTCTTACATCAGACTTTTGTGTCCAAATGGGGTTATCTAGGGCTACACAGAATGGCAGCAGCCACTTTTAAGCATTTTCCTGAGAGATCCTAGGTTGTGTTAGATATGCCTGTGTGCTTTCAGATTATGCTTTCCGTCCTTAACTGGGTGAGATATGTTTTCTGGTACAAGGAAAGTATAGGTATGTCTGAATGTCCTAATCAAAACCAAAACTCTGTAGGTAATTCCACAAACCAAAAATATTAAGAAAATGTCTCTCCAGCAGCAAGGTTAAGAATCACGACTCAACTTTAATATAATGCAAACTGGAAAATCAAAAAGGTTTATGTGAACATTAAGTCATGTCTGGGTGGTGGGATGACAGGTGATTTTAAAATGTTTCTTTATTCATATCAAAATTTTATTTTTCTACAGTATACTATTAGTGTGTTATTTAAAAAGATGTGCTACTTAAATAATTTTAACAGTGAAAAAGAAACACTAAGTAAATACATTGAGAAAAATGTAAGGAATTCACAAGGCACTCTAGGTTTTGTGATAAAACTTGAGATGGAATTAAGTAAATGTTTAGGATAATACCTGATCTTTCTGAATTCTCATCTCATCTACTTCACTTTCAGCATACTGAGGATCTCTCGCGGGGTCCTTGATATCTTTCAGCGTGTTAATACTCTGAAATTATAAATCTCCAAATCACTTAATGCCTATAACCCCAAATTCAGTGGCTACCATCTGCCTAATAAACCAACCTCCCATTCCTCAGCCTGCCACGAAGGGTCTCTAGGATTTTCCAAGCTTTTTCATCACCACTGAGCCCACTTCCCATTCCACAGGTCCCCTTTCAATTGCCTCTGCCTTCTCTAACCGCCAGATAACTCTCTTTGAAAGTAGAGCAGGAACCATGTCTTACTCATCTTTTAACCCCCACAGTGCTTATTTACATTTTCAGCAGATGTTTAATTGATTTTTAAGCATGAGAGATAAAAACAAAGTGGTCATAATAGGCCCTTTGGCAAATTTCCTATGACTGTTAGATATAGTGCTAAAAATCTTGCTTTAAAAAAATTAGAATTATGTACCTTTGGTGGAAAGAGCTTTTCATATACTTTTTTCCACAACTCCATTGGTGAGTGGGCATGAAGCTTTCCAATGTCATTTTCAGGAATGGGAGGAGATCCTAAAATTGCAAGTTTTACTCCAAATGACTGCACTGATTAAAATATTACAAACTCTACCAATAAAAGAAATGACACTAACAAAGGTATGAAACTTACATCACTCATTTTCCCTCTCCTTAATGTGGTCACTGTTAAAATTTGTCCCTACCCAGCAGAGGAAGTCACTGGGACAGATTCTAGTATTGAAAGAGGAGGAGGCAAAGAGTAAACTGGGTGAACTGAAACTCTCATTTTCCACACCCTGTACCTATACCTATATCTATATCCTGTTAACTAGTAATTCCAGTTCTTGGTAGTGTTTACCCTAGAAACACCTGCAAACTGGTATTGTATTAAGGACTTCACACTGCAGCATCATTTGTTATCAGTGAAAAATTGACCTACAACCAAAACATTCATCACTGATAAACAGTGCATTAATTACTATGTATAGCCATGCTCTGTAACACAATCCAACAGTTAAAATAAGAAATAGACTCATATGTAGCATTAATATGGAAAAACTACTAAGGTAGGTTGAATAAAAAGGAGAAATTCCAAAACGATATAGACTGAACATACAATTATGTTAAAGCAAATAGTTTTCTACACTATATATATATATATACATATGTGTGTGTGTAAATGCATAGGAAATTGGAAAGAACACAAATTTCCCCCTTATATGTACTCTTTTACCTTGTTACAAGGAGATTCTCTTTATGTATTACTTGTATAATTTAATTTAATTTGAAAAATGTAAAATTTTGCCACCATTTACAATTTGTAACAGGATATTTCCCATTCTATTTCCAGCCTCTCTATTGTTCACCAAAACTGTTTTGCTGGTGCTCTTCCAGGACATGCTTATGACTCTGGTGGGAAAGGTACTGATACATTCCACTGATGTTATTCAGCTTTGCCAAGTTTTACTTGCATTCCTTTGGGTGTCTCTGTGTATATTCAGTTCTATACAATTTTACCACCTGCATAGGTTCATGTATTTGCTACCACAGTCAAGACACTGACTTAATTCCACTAGTGCAAGGAGCTTGTGCTGCCCTTTTACAGACATACCATCCTCCTTCCCGACCTCTCCCCTGGTCTCCTCAACCATAGTCCTATCCCTACCCTCTGACCACCAGTAATCTGCCTCCATCTCTAAAATATTTTTCATTTCAAAATGTTTTAGAAATAGAATCACACTGTATGTAATCTTTTCTAATTGGCTGCTTTTCACTCAGCATGAGTCATCCAGGCTGTGTGTATCAATCGTTTGCTCCTTTTTATGGCTGAGTAATGTTTCCTGGGACAGATGCACCACTGTTTGTTTAGCCATTCACCTGCTGAACAACTTCTGGGCTATTTGTAGGTTTTGACTACTACACATAAAGCTGCTGTGAACATCTGCCTAGAGATTTCTGGGTGAAAGTCAAGTTTTCCTTTCTCTTGGATAAATGCCTAACAGCACAATTTCTAGGTCATGTGGTACTTATATGTTTAGTTTCATAAGAAACTGTCAAACTGTTTTCTAGAATGGCTGTACCATTTTACACTCCCACCAGCAATGTATGAGAGAGCTGTTCTAGCAATTTTGTTAAGTGTATATAGTGATAGCTCATTGTGGTTCCAATTTGTATTTCCCTAATGACATTAAACACCTTTTTATGTGCTGCTTTGCTATTTTTATGTCCTCTTCTGAAATGAAATGTCTGCTTGTGTCTTTTGCCCACTTTTTAATTGTTTATTTATTTTTCTGTTGAGTTTATATATTCTAAACACTAGTCCTTTGTCATATATGTGGTTTGAAATTATTTTCTCCCAGACTGTGGCATGTCTATTCATCATCTTCATATGGGCTTTCACAGAGCAAAAGTTTTAAATTCTGATGATATCTAAATTTTTAAATTGAGTAATTCTGAACTCTCTTCTGGCCTCCAACTATTCACAGGGGCAAAAGAATTCCATCGGCATTATATGTTAGTACACGCAGTGATTCTCACTGCTACTGGAATTAGATTGGTGCTAATGATAATCATAAAAGTCCGTCTCCATGACTGTTCATTAAGCAAAATCACCTCCATTCCTTTCATCCCAATTAATCTATAATTGCATTACAAAGATTTCTATATTTGAAGTAAGTCATTTTTAGCTTGTAAGACTAATAGAGGATGGGAAATACACAAAAACCCACTACTGCCCATTACAGTGTTAAAGCAAACTATGCCACCTGCCAAGGATAAAGAACTCTGAGGCTCAAAGATTTTCACTATGAAAACAGCTTCTGTGGGAAAGTAAGGGGCTTGAGATATAAACTCTTAAACTTCCTTTTAATTCAGAAGCCTACAGAGAGTTCAGGAAATACATTCCATGAGATGAGGCATGCTATTTTATAACAACAAATTATATCACACCTAATTGTTACAATTGTGATCTTTTTGGTTTATTCTACTTTAATCTCTCATATACTTGCCAATTGCCCATAATATGTAGCTCTGAATTTCCTCACTACGCTATGCTCCTAGTTTCTTTAAATCCAAGGAGCTAAAATTTAAAAGTACCTGGAAATCAGTGGGGGAAAGAAAATACATGAAATTTGCTTTTTAGTGGAATAGAGATCAGAAATCAGTCTCTAATGTGGTGACGTTCCTTTCATCACAAACATGTCAGTGTGGTGCATGTTGCATTAATACTGGGCATGTAAATAAACACACAGGAAATAACAGCAACAATAATGAAACCAGAAAGAGTACGTTGGAGACAAAGCAAACATGGAATAGGATAAAATCAATAAGCAATTAAAAAAAGACTGAACAATCTTAATAAGTTCACTAACCTATTTGACTGAAAGAATCCAATCCTGCTGTGATAAACAGTGGTTTATTCTGATCCACACATATTGATTTGCTACATGGAAAAGAAAAAGATTCTAAATTAGTTTAGCAACTGAATTTGCTACCACTCTATCCCATAAACATCAGAGCCATATTATTGGGCTAGTTTTACATTAAGCCACTAATGAGAGCACTGCCCCAAATGAATGAGTGACTATCAATTTAAGAGATTTCAAAAATTAAAGTGTAGCATAAATCAACATTTTATAGGGGGGAAAAAAGTGACAGATCCTATTACGTTAAATCAAAACCAAGAGAAGGCTAAGAAGATACATTCCAAAATTTTCAATTCCATTTCAAATCAATTTAAGAAAGTAATAATAGAGGGAAGCTACGAAAGTGAAGGAAAGGAGGTAAAGAAATCAGGGAACAAGTATAATATTATCATTATTTTATTCCAGCCTCAAACTAAATGTTATGTAACATTTTGGTTGTTAAATGTGAGAAATATTTAAACAATTTAAGAAGCAGGAAATAATATTAAATTATCTCCTTTATGTTGAGTCTTGACAAAATAAATAATAATAAAAATAATTAAAAAAAGAAATGATCCTTTAAGAACAGCTGTCTGTGTCACTTTCCTGGTCAAGACACAAGAGACTGAAAAGAACAATAATCAGATGAGACAAAATTGGCTAATCAATCACTCAATAAATGATATAAAAATATCTTAACAGTACCTTTTGTCAATGCCAAATGCCAACTGGTTGATAACGCCACGTATTTTTAGTAATAGAGCTTCTGATTTGCTGGTAAACTTTAAACAAATCAGGAGAACAAATTAAATGCTCTATTTTCTAATCACAGAAACAGGTAAAATAAATATGGCTTTGAACAAGTACAGATTGCAAAGAGAATTACTATTTAGTTGCCCAACAAATACTTGTGTTTGAGTAGACAAAACAAAACCTGCATAAAGAAATCTTAGTAACTTTAACTCGTTCTTCAAACTTAATGAGTACATGATGTGGAAAGGACTTGTGTTTATGCACTGATCATTTTAGCTATTCACACAAGTGGATCATAATCATTGTCAAGTAATTTATTTAAAATGTATATGTAAATGTATGTTTATGGGCTGTATGTGTGTAAACACACTCACTATAGTCTAAAAGAAAATTTTCCAAAATGCAGTTGGGTTGGTTAGGAAATAAGAGGTATACCTCAAAAGTAGCTTTTACATCCAAGGGCATATTGCTGCCTTCCAGAAAGTCATTGTGGGAGTGCAGACTGGTCTAATGATACTGATACTCAATAAAGTAATTTTTAAACTTCTTTTTGAATTGCTTTTGGTGCCTAAGCTACTTTTTCAGTGTTGATATAACCAGGGAGCCCATAACCAGAATATTTCAGAGAATGAAAGGGGCTGGGTATTAGTAATAATTAAGCATGACATCAGATGAAAACCAGGACATATGGTTACCCTATGAATCTTTAAAGACTAGATTGGATGCCAGGCTGGGCACAGTGACTAATACCTGTAATCCCAGCACTTTGCGAGGCCAAGGCGGGCAGATCACGAGGTCAGGAGTTTGAGACCAGCCTGGCCAACAAAGTAAAACCCCATCTCTACTAAAAATACAAAAATTAGCTGGGCATGGTGGTGTATGCCTGTTGTCCCACCTACTCGCGAAGCTGAGGCAGGAGAATTGCTTGAACCCAGGAGGTAGAGGTTCTGGTGAGCCAAGATCGCACCACTTACACTCCAGCCTCTCTGGCAACAGAGTGAGACTCTGTGTCAAAAAAAAAAAAAGACTGGATTGGATTTCTGTAGATACCAAAAGTCATTCACAGCCAAGTCAAAATGACTAAAAGGTATGGAAATACAACTTTGAACTGAAATAAAATGTAATTATGAAGCAACGATATCAGCATTATGGTTCCAATGGCTATTCCACAAGATAAGCTTCATTCTGGATTAAGAACAGAAAGTTCTTAATGCTCTCAGAGAAAGTATTCAAAAGAGAGTACTCACGTGTATGTAAGATCTGATACATTTATTTAAAAGAAAGCCATTGAAATAATTGTAATGCTTCTACTGAGACAATGTTTAAAAATACCTATAGAAAACTTTAACTGAATTTAGAAATACAACTGCTCTGTTTAATTTTATTTTCTTTATGAGAAAGGAAAAACCTAGTCACAAACATATTTCATAGAATATAGGGGCTGGGAGTACATTAGAAGTTTTCTAACCCAACTTCTGCATCTGGTGCATCAATCACTTCTAAAACATCTTTGCCTTCTGCTTAGACGAACTCAATGCCTGGGAATTCATTTCCCAAAACAACTCACTCTGTTTTCAGATAATGGTAGTATTAGAAAGTGCTTTCATCTTTTGAGTAAACTCTATTGATTCCTTTTTCTGGACCTTAGGATAGCAAAGAATGAATTTAGTCACTTTTCCATGGAATATTCCTTCAACTATACAACAGAGTTATCACACTGTAGATGATATTCTACTGGTCCTCATATATAATAATTTTGAGTCCCTGCCATTCTGGTGGCTCTCCTCTGAATCTGGTCCTACTTATTAGTCTTCCACTCTTCTTTTGGGGGGCGAGGAGCATGTTGGTTTTTTAAGAGATGGGGTCCTGCTCTGTTTCCCAGGCTGGAGTGCAGCAGTGTGATCATAACTCACTGTACCTTGAACTCCCAGGCTCAGGCAATCCTCCTGCCTCAGCCTCCTGAGTAGCTAGGACTACAGGCATGCACTATGATGACTGGCTAATTTTTTTTGTTGTTGTTGCCTCATTTTGTTGCCCAGGCTGGTCTTGAACTCCTGGCCTCAGGTGATCCTCCCACCTCACCCTCCAAGTGTTGAGATTAGAGGCAAGAGCCACCACACCCAGCCTGTTTTTTGTTTTTATTAACTTAATTAGATTGTTCATAATATTGAATCAATATTCTCAACTGTACTATAAAGAATCAACTATAGTGTTGGGGGAAAAAACCCTGCTAAATATCACGGGATTTTGCAAAGCAGTACCCAACCTTCTTCCTTAAATGGGGCAGAGGGTAAGAGGAGATGTGAAACTGAAAGACGAGGCTTTCATAACTTTGGCTGCATTCTTCCTGAAAGACCTAATGGTTCCTTTGGTGGTCCACAAGTACTCCACTAACCCAAACCCTGTTCCTTTGGGCTTACTGAAAGCTGAGATGAAGCCCTTCTCAAAGCCATTCCCTGGTTCCTGATCTTGCTGGATCTCCTGGGCCACGGTTAATACCAGGCTCGCTGTGGCCTGCGTTGACCTGGCTTCATCTAAATTTGTACCCATGAGACCAGACTGGGCCCTCCATCAAACATAATCTGTTCCTAAATAAATAGAGGGATTTCCCTCAGCTAACTTTAACCAGAATTAAATATGTGACCCTCTCTAGTGGCAAAAATAAGTAACTGCAAGATCTTTACCTCTGTACCCTTGATGAGCCATTCACTCAAATTCTCTCAAAATAGTAAAGAAGAACATTTTCCAAACTACCATGTCAACCTTATACATAAGCAAATACAATTCAAACATAAAAGGTGATCCTTTTTAAGAAAATATATAATAAAGTGTATTTGTAATGTTTTGAAAGGTATATAAACCAAGAATACATATTTTGTACATTTTACTTTCAGTCAAAATATTCTAGCCATGAAGGCAAGGGGCTAGACCATGTTGTCTCTAGGTTCCTCGGAGTGCTTTAATTTGGAGGAAAAAAAGAGACCATTAAACAATTATTCAAATGTAAAGAAAAAATTTTTCTTCTTTGAGACAAGGTCTCCCTCTGTTGCCCAGTCTGGAGTGCAGTGGTGTGATTATGGCTCACTGCAGCCTTGAACACCTGAGCTCACGTCATCCTCCCACCTCAGCCTCCCAAGTAGCTGGGACCACAGGTGTGTGCCACCATGCCCACCTAATTTTCAAATTTTTTTGTACAGACAGATTCTCGCCATGTTGCCCAGGATGGTCTCAAACTCCTGAACTCAAGTAATCCTCTCACCTTAGCCTCCCAAAGTGTTGGGATTACAGGTGTGAGCCACTGCACCCAGCTGGAAATTTTTTAAATAAAAATGTTTTTTTTATTTTATTGCATTAAAGGACATTTAGTAAAGTTTAGTCCTGCTTTGGGAGATAATGATAACGTAATTATAAAAACCAACATTTATTAATATACTGTCCTAGGCTTGGTGCTAGCATTTCACATGTACTGCCTCATTGAATCCTCACAACAATCGTATGAAGAAGATATAATTTTTCTCCATTTTACCCTGGAGGAAAATGAGGCTTAAGGGAAATTGAGTGACTCGTCTAAGATCACATGTCTAATAATAAATGGTCACCCTGAGATTGGAACCCAGGAAGCATGACTTCAGATTTCATGTTTTTAACTTTTACAACAAACAGCACTTTTTTTAAAGACCCCTTACCCCCAATAAACAAAACTGTTAAAGTTGCTTTTTGTTTTTCTTTTAAGGAAATATAGATTCTAATTCTTAAGGGGATGCTAAAAATGAATAAACACACCATCAACTTATCTCTTTATGCTTGATTGGGGTTTATGGATATAAGCAATTCAGAACTTTTGCTCCAAAGAAGGGGGAGACCATCTAGCAGTGCATGTTCAACAGGTACATTATCAAACGCTCTGTAAGGAAAGGTCTTTGGCAGTGGGAAAGCAATGGGACCATGAACATTGGTAAAAGCGTTTATTCCTTGTAGCTGTGTATCAAGTTGCTAATCTCCCAAATTTGGTGCTGTCCATTCAAGCCCAAAGAACAAGAAATGTACAAACCATTAATGATGCTCCATAATAATGTGCAACAAATCGAAGTGTCTTGCATATTACCTTTCTCTTCTCAGACTCAAAATCCTGTAGAAACACATTATTAAAAAATAGTCAAGGTAACTAAATATCTATAGCAGGAAGATTCAAATTATTAAATGTAGAAGTAGATTATTTCTTATTTTTTTTTAAACTCACCTTCAGGAATAGGATTCCATTACCTTGATATTTGTTTCATAGAGAGTCGAACAATAGCTGCAGCCTTCTTAAAGCTACAGCTATCAGATCTTTCTTTGTTTAAATACTTAGCTCAATAGAATTCAGATATAAGCACATGTTTCATAGTGTAGAATACCCTAACAATTCTCTGACAAGCAAAGATAAGAAGAAACTAATTTTCTACTTTCTTCAATTTAAAAGTTAGAAAGTAAGTCCTATTCCCCAGTGACTGAGTTGAAGATTTTTTTTCTTTTCTTTTTAAGAGACAGGGTCTCACTGTGTAACCCAGGCTGGAGTACAGGGGTGTGATTACAGCTCACTGTAACCTCAAATTCCTGGGCTCAAGTGATCTTCCCTCTTCAGCCTCCCAAAGTGCTGGGACTACTGGCATAAGCCACTGTGCCCAGCAAGATTCATTTTCTAAACCTGCCTATCCCCATTCTAATCACTACACTTATTTTCTTTACCTATTTTTTTCTGTCCCTACTATATCTTCTTTTCCAAAATCTTTAAGATATGTGACTTATTAACCTGTTCTTTCAAGAATTACTTTTCTTATTTTGGTACCTTCCTCATAAAAAGCACAGCCATGTATGTACAACGAGCTCAGCTAGAAGAGCTGAGAAGAGCTTACCTGAAAAATATCATATTTACTTCCGATAATGACCAGAGGTACTGGAAATGGGTCAATTATTTCACGATCCTGTTAATAAACACATTGCATTGATTTATTATAATTCTTTCTCATTTTTTTTTTCTTTTTTTGAGATGGAATCTCACTCTGTAGCCCAAGCTGGACTGCAGTGGCACGATCTCACTGCAACCTCTACCTCCCGGGTCCCAGTTCAAGCAATTCTCCTGCCTTAGCCTCCCAAGTAGCTGGAATTACAGGCACATGCCACCATGCCCAGCTAAGTTTTTTTTGTTGTTGGTATTTTTAGTAGAGATGGGGTTTCACCATGTTGGCCAGGCTGGTCTTGAACCCCTGACCTTGTGATCTGCCTCCCTTGGCCTCCCAAAGTGCTGGGATTACAGGTATAGCCACCACTCTTGGCTGATTTATTATAATTCTTTATTGCTATGTGCTCAACAATTTCTATTTACTTCCAAAAATTTTCAGTCTCTTCATAGATACATACTTAATTTGCTTGACATAGAATTTGTTCCAATATTTAACTTTTCACTTCCTAAGCAATGTTTCGTAAGCATAAAACTAGAAATGGCAATTCCCTAAATTACTATGATATTTATTCTTTTCCCTTTTCCACCTTTTATTTTCTTATGTAACATATTACCTTCCTGGGTTTTTTTTTCTACTTTATGTTAACTGTTTGTGGAATAGCATTTATCCAGCATAGATTTGTTTTGTTACATACTTCCCTATGTAGAACACTTTCTTATAAACTCTGGATAATATAAAATGCTACTCTTAGTTTTCTAGATGATGATATTTATGATCGTATTTGAAGAACTTGTGTTACTATCACAGCAACTTTATAATTTAACTAGCTGTCGGATGATCAAAATATACAAAATACGTGACAGAACTAAATAAATGTAAACTGCAGACTGACAGTGAAGGCTATTAAAACTCTACCCCTTGCTTAAAGTTGTAGCTTCATCTAGTCTTTGTCAGGTGACTTTTGTACAATCTGGATTTTTATCTACATTTTTACAGAGATTATAAAATCAGTATCAAACCACTATTTTAAAACTCTATTTCTCTGATTGCTGTAATATGCCATTATAATCCCAGTAGATGTCTAACAAGAAGACGTAAGGAATCTTTTTCCTTGTTTTGCTATTACTGAGATTTTAATAAATTGCTGTAATTTTCCAGTGAACAGGTTCATCTACATCAAATGAATTTCAAGCCATGCATAAAAATCTAAAGAAGTTGTTTGTGATGTTATCATTAACTATATATGGGGCTAAGGATTCTAGCAATAATTCCAAACAGCAACTCACAGGATGGTCCTTCTGCATATTATTCCAGATCTTCTGTCTCATTTCAGAAACTGCTTTAGAATTCATCTTTCCCAGTTTCATTATCACCTTGTCTACATGGCTTTTTGTGGCTTGCAAGAGATTTTCCATGGTGGGCCAAAGATCATTAGGTTTTGAAAGATCCAGAACGAGAACAAGAGAAAACATCCTAAAGAAATAAAAATGTCTTTCAAAAAATACTCAAAATAATTACTATTTTGAAACCCTAATGTACTGAAACTTATCAAAGAATAACTAAAATATACCTTAAGAAAAAAAAAAAACATAGCATTATTCTAAGAGTCAAAAAAACAAAAACAAAAAACCAAAGTCATAGTTATTCTAATACTTTCCCCTAGTGATATTTAAGTGTTACAACTAGTAGTGGAACTACGTTTCTGTTGAACTAAAAGTAGTTTAGTTCAAATAGAGAAGCTGCAAGCATTAGGGTCGACAATGACGTGTTTACATCCAATTTTACTCTGTGCTCCAAAAAGCAAAGCAAAAATAATAAAAGAAGCAAAAACAATAACACAATAATCAGGTAAAGGAGAAGAAAACCGATGTATGGATGGACCTTGCTAGAGAACTCTCTAGTTAATCTCCTCAATAACCCTCTCCAGAAGATGTTATAATGTTCATTTTATAGATTAGAAGTCTCTGGCACAGATTTATGTAATTAGTAAATTGTAGAACCAGTATTTAGAGCCAAAGTTACATGCTCTTCTGTGATACCATTCTGTCTCTCTGCAAGCACACCCCTGACCACCAGCTACACCACCACCATCACCATATGCACTTGCATTCTGTTCATGCACATCACACATAAACCTAAACTCAGCAACAAACATTCCTGTTCAAAAATGGGCAAAGAGGCCAGGTATGGTGGCTCATGTCTGTATTTCTAGAGCTTTGGGAAGCTGAGGCAAGAGGATCTCTTGAGGCCAAGAGTTCAAGACTAGCCTGGGCAACATAGCAAGACTCCATCTCAACTATATTAAAAAAAAAAAAAAGAAGGTAAAAGACTCAAATAGCCATTTCTCCAAAGAAGATATACAGATGGCCAATAAACACATTTATTGTCAAGATTTCTTTTTTTTGGAGGAGGAGTCTCTATCATCCAGGCTGGAGTGCAATGGCATGATCTTGGCTCACTACAACCTCTGCCTCCTGGGTTCAAGTGATTCTCCTGCCTCAGCCTCCAGAGTAGCTGGGATTACAGGTGCACACCACCATGTCCAGCTAATTTTTGTATTTTTAGTAAAGACGGGATTTCACTATGTTGCCCAGGCTGGTTTCAAACACCTGACCTCAGGTGATCCGCCTCAGCCTCCCAAAGTGTTGGAATACAGGCGTGAGCCACTGTGCCTGGCCTAAAAGATTTTTTTTAATGAGAAAATAACAAGTATTAGTGAGGATACAGAGAAACTAGAACCCCTATACATTGCTTATGGGAATGTAAAATGGTAGAGCCACTGTGGAAAACAGTAATGGTGATTCCTCAAAAAATTCACTGCAGAATTACCAGATGATCCAGCAGTTCCACTTCTGAGTCTATACCCAAAAGAACTGAAAGAAGAGATTTAAACAGATAGTGTACACCAGTGTTCATACCAGCATTACTCACAATAGTCAAAAGACAGAAATAATCCAAATGTTCATGGATAGATTAATGGATAACTAAACTGTGGCATCTGTTTATACAATGGAACATTACTTGGCCTTATAAGTGAGGAAAATCCTGACACATACTACAACGTGGAAGAACCCTGAAGACGTTATGCTAAATGAAATAAATAAATAACAAAAGGACAAATAATAAATGATGTCATTTATATGAGGTACTAGAGCGGCCAGATTCATAGAGACAGACAGTAGGGATGATGGCTGCCAGGAGCGGGGGAGGGAAAAATAAGAAGTTACTGTTAAATAGGTAAAAAGTTTCAGTTTGAGAAGATTAAAAAGTTCTGGAAATGGATGGTCATGAGAATATACTTAATGCCACTGAACTGTACAGTTAAAAATGACTAAATGTTTATGCTATGTACATTTTACCACAATAAAAACTAAACATATATAAATCTAGGTGTTTTTTTTTTCTTTTTTTTTTTGAGATAGAATCTTGCTCTGTTCCAGGGTGGAGTGCAGTGGCACGATCTCGGCTCACTGCAACCTCTGCCTCCTGGCTTCAAGCTATTCTCCTGCCTCAGCCTCTCGAGTAGCTGGAATTACAGGAAAGTGCCACCATGCCTGGCTAACTTTTGTATTTTTACAAAAATACATGGTTTCACCATGTTGGCCAGGCTAGTCTTGAACTCCTGCCTTGTAATCCACCCACCTCGGCCTCCCAAAGCGCTGGGATTACAAGCATGAGCCACCACGCCCGGCCTCTAGGAGTATTTTAAAAAATGGTTATAGTAAGTATGTAGAACCATAATCCTTGATGGTTTAGGATTCTATACAATATATCCAATAAATCCCTGATCAACACAGTAAACATTCTGCTAGAAGACACAGCACCAAATTATAATATATGTTATTTAATTATTTTGTTTAGTTCAAGTAAACAGCCTATTTTGTATAATTCAAGCAAAACAGTAACAATTCTGTTGGTCTCAATTCAGAAAGTAGTCTTTTACATGTTAATTATCAAATTTTCTAAAAATTATTCTGATATTACTTTGCCTAGCCAATTATATTTATATCATTTTAATAAGCTCATAAACAATTTTGCTTAACTATAAAAATAATATATACATTTTTAATGATATTAATTTTATTTTTATGGTTTTGGTATAGTTATGTTTCAACTATGATTTAACATTTTTTCATTGTGATGAAATGGATACAACAAAATATATTTTTTTAAGTGAAAAATTATTTTAAGCAAAAGAAAAATGAATTACTATAATTTTTTTCCAAGATTAAAATTTTTGTTCACAGTATATTGGAAATACTTTTGTTACTTTTTCATAGCAAATGACAGCCAAAACATTTTTTTAAACAAACTCTTAAAACAGAGATTCAGACCACAGGAAATGTTCTATTACAAACTGTCTAAAGTCTGTGGAAATGTTCAATGCGTTTATAATTCTATGAACAGTTATTTCAAAGATAAACAGTATCTAACGGTACTTGGCAATATTATTTTTTCAAGTTGTGGGACTTCATCCAACACAAGGAAATTATGTGTCAAACTAATTCTAGTCAAAAACACTTTGATATTAGCAACTATATGAAGAATGAAATGTTTTCCATAAATTATTTAATCACTCAGCAACCTACTTTGGACCCAAGCCTACCGCTCCCTTTCCCTCTGTTGATCATAACTCTGACCCTTCCTTTCTCCTAAAGCAGGCTCCAGCTGTCCTGGGGCTCCAGGTAAAGGAAGACCAAGACCTCACAAATGAGGTATTAACCCTTGGGAAGATCTGGCTTTCTGCAGAACCTAGAATTTCCATAAGCCCAGCAGGCCAAAACCTTTTGGGCCTTGAAAAGGGTAATGAGGTAATGTAACAAGTCTGTCAGAACAGGAGCCAACTCCCTATGCAGATAAGAGCCCGCTTCTGTATTTTCACCCTTTCAGCCTCTGGCTACTTTAACTGGAAGCTCCTCCCAGCCTCACTATCCTTCTCTCTTTTTTTTTTTTAAGAGACAATGTCTCACTCTGTCACTTAGGCTGGAGTACAGTGGTATGATCATAGCTTATTGCAGCCTTGAACTCCCTGGCTCACACAATCCTCCTGCTTCAGCCACCTGGGTAGCTGGGACAACAGGGGCACACTACAATGCCTAATTTTATTTTTTAATTTATTTGTAGAGATGGGGTCTCACTATGTTGCGGAGGCTGGTCTTGAACTCCAGGCCTCAAGTGATCCTCTCGATTTGGCCTCTCAAAGTGCTGGGATCACAGGTGTGAGCCACCACACCCAGCCCCTCACCATCTCTTCTCAACCACACCACTAGGCACTATTCCCTGGCAGCTTCACTTATTTGTCTCCATTAAAAAGAGACAAATGACAAATGATGTAACTGTAAAATCCCATCTTCTAAAAAATAGTATCATAGGGAAAAGTGTTGAAAAGTGAAAAAGCAAGATCTAAATATGTATATAAAATATCCCAAATCTGTACAAAGTCTATTTACAAACACTGAAAAGGCTGAAATACCTCAACACATTAAAGTGGTTTTTAAAATGTGATTCTAGTTTCTTTTACTTTCTTTGTGTCTTTCAGTATTTTTACAAGTTTTCTATGTGAGCATATATTACTTTTGTAATAAGTGAAAGAAAGTAAATCATATTTCACTAAAAGGAAAAAAAAAAGACAAAACAAAGCCAACTGTATCCAGCCAGTTCCAGAGAAACTGCCCCATTAACAAGAAATAATTCCATCCTCCAAGGAGCTTAATGACCAACATGTAACAACTAATTGTCAAGCTCTTTGTATTAGATCCAGGCAGCAGCAATGGTTTCTGTTAAACTCTACAAATAAAATATTTCAGATTTTAAAATATTTGTTTTTCTTGGCTAAGACCAGTTCCCAGGAACACTGTAAGAAATGTCACAATTTTTCACATATTTGGCCAACATGTGGGAGTTACTGTCAGAAAAATATCACTCAAGCGTTTTGAGGTTTTCCCCTAGGTTCTATTTCTCAAAGGTCAGCAAACGGAGAGAATTTCTCTCTCCTCCGACATACAGTCTTCCTTTAAATGAAGCTTCAAGAATACTAATTAGCATTAAATACAAAGGTAGACTTAGAGTACTCAGATAAAGAAAAAACTCAGAACTGATTTAACTCACACTGAGATGGATACTGGAAAGAATTAAGCTTTTCAAAATTGCTTTTATGGAATGAATTCATTGCCCAAGTGTAATTTGGTGTATTTTTTTTTGTTTGCAGCTTGCAAAATATGTCAGTAGGGGGAATGTCAGCTATCTCACTTCAGCACAGGCCAAAAATCTTGGTTCTTTTAAAACTTCTTTGAAAGCATTACAGTTTAAGCATTTAGAAAGGAAGTGGGCATAAGCCTTGAGCAACATAAAACGGTACCCCAAAATTCTGACTAAGAAAAGCCAATTCATATTCCTCCTGGGGATACTCCTGTGTACTTACAGCTTTTCCTGGAGCTGGCTTACTTACCGTAAGGTGTCACTTGTGATAGGTATGCTGATTAAGTCCAATAAGGAGATTCCTCCACCCAGTTCCCAAAAGTGAGCAATATCTTTTGGCTGAAAAACAAAAATTTTTGATTTTTTAATTTTAAGTACTTCTTATACATCATTAGCACTTGCCAGTAATAATTAGACATACAAAATATCATAGTCCTTAACCATTTCTTGGCAGTCAAAACTTTCTCCTTTATCCCATCCCTCAAAATGCACCAAAGCACCTATTCTAAAGAAAAATGATGAAATATTAAGAATTGCCTATATGTATACACAAATGCCCAAATGTCCTAATTCTAGTAATATCTTAACAGAAGACACAAACAGTGCCTCAGTTTTGTAAATGACATATGTAACATACACTTACACAGATTTTAGATTAAAAAGTAACCAGTTGAACAAATTTGTATTATCTTTTTGAAATATTGATAATTCTAGATAGAAATAAAACAGGTGAATAGGAAAACATTCTTATTTAGGAAGACAGAAGCTCACAGAATGAATTAGACACAGGTAAGGCATGAAGAAAAGGAATGAACAGATGGCAGTCCTGGCTGTGGACCAAGATTACTTGAGCAAAAGCATAAGCAGATGATTTGTTCCTGATTCCTGTGGAGAATCTGAGACTACCACTGACAATAATACATTAAAGGTGGGGGGAACAAGAGATCAAACAACTGCTTCTCTTTTTTATAGAACCCTCAAGATAACAGGAAACTAACAGGGCTAGGCAGTCAAGAAATTCAGAAATAAGATCATCTAGGGCTGGGTGCAGTGGCTCACACCTATAACCTCAGCACTGTGGAAGGCCAAGGCTGGAGGATCACTTGAAGCCAGGAGTTCAAGGTCAGTCTGGCCAACACGGTGAGATCCCATCACTACAAACAATTTTTTAAAATTAGCTGAGTGTGGTGGTGCATGCTTGTAGTGAATCTGGGGGGACAGTTTACTTGGGAGGCTAATTTGGGAGGATTCTTTGAGCCCAGGAGTTTGAGGCTGCCGTGAGCTATGATCCTGCCACTGTACCCCAGCCTGGGCAACAAAGTGTGACCTTGTCTCCGAAAGAAAAGAAAAAATGGAGGACCATCTATTCCATGAGGCCTCCCTAGACTGTTGGCTAATGGCATTTCTGCTTCTGTCCTGACACTGAAGAGCCTTCAGGTCACTGAAATTCTGTGAGGAGCTGACAAAGTACTTCTATTTAGAACTCTCAAGGAATTAAATATGAGAAAGACATGATGCTTCCAGAATGAATTTGGAAATATCCCACTTGAAAGTACAAAGTTTAGAGAAAAAGAATAGGTGAAAAAGAATCACACAAGTTTTTATGTATCTGCTCCCATGAGCCTGTAAGAGACAGATTATCAATAAAATAAGCTTCAGATGAATATATATTATTTTGAAATTTTGACAAATTTTCATCTTGTAATCTCTATGATTCTTTGGCTGTTCATATATAAATCATTAATTTTTGTGGAAAAAATAATTCTTCACTGGAAAATCTCCCTCAATTCAAAATCTGATAAAGGGAAGTTTTTAGAGCTCTTCTGAAAAGTTAAGCTTATGAGAGATGTCTCAACGTTTCCAATACTTTGAGAAAAGCATAATCATGCTTTGAGAAAAGCATAATTACATTTCTAGGCTTATCGCTCATGTCAAAATTCAAGTGAGTCACAAAAACGAAGTCCTCCTGTATCTCCATATATTATGTTTTTTTCTTTAAATTTCAGCTTTAATAACCTACTTTCCTTGGTAAATCCTAGGAGCAACAGTAGGCAGTTTTATCTCTTTATAAACTGCCCAATGAGCAAAACATTTGGACTAAGTCAGTGTATAAAAATGCACCTTGGTTATAGGAGTAGCAGGATGCTCCATTCTCGATTGTCCTTACACACACTTAACTTTATTTAAGAAATGACCTCTTTTCAGGTGACAACTCCAAAAAGATTCTATTTAGGAATTCTCCACCCCACCTCCTGCCAACATATACTATAAACCCACCTTCTATCCTGAATAGTTTATAATGTTCCTCTAAAGAGACATTAAAACAAGTGAAAATAGGATTATAATCAAGTAGGGCATATGATCTCAACTAGCACTATCAACTTCAACATGCATTTTTATTTTATTTTATTTATTTATTTTGAGACGGAGTCTTGCTCTGTCACCTAGGCTGAAGTGCAGTGGCACAATCTCGGCTCATTGCAACCTCTGCCTCCCGATTCAAGTGATTCGCCCATCTCAGCCTCATGAGTAGCTGAGATTATAGGTACACATTATCACACCCGGCTAATTTTTGTATTTTTAATAGAGAAGGGGTTTCACCATGTTGGTCAGACTGGTCTCAAACTATTGACCATGTGATCCGCAAGCCTCAGCCTCCCAAAGTGCTGGGATTACAGGTGCGAGCCACTGCACCCAGCCCAAGATGCATTTTTAAATGCTAATAATTTCCATTTTAAACAGTATATTTTCATAAATACTCCACAGGTCAAACTCATATTTCAGCAGATTTTTGAGAGAGAAAGTAACTCACAACACTATTCTCATGAACTGTAAAATAAAGTTAAAAAAGGTATCTTATTCTAGCATTTTAAGACATAACAAATGAGAAGGCTAAATCTTTTCACAGTTTGGGTTGGCTTCATATCTGCCACACTGCATTTGAAGTTTAATGGTAGACAGCTATGAAGTATACAACTGGATATGTTTATTGATTACAGATAAGATGGAAAAGGTAAAACAAAGTCAGCAGCATTACTTTCCCATTTTATGGGCATAGCAATATCACTTTAAAAGACACTGTGCTGGGAGTGGTGGCTCATGCCTGTAATCCCAGCACTTTGGGAGGCTGGGACAGGCAGATTACTTGAGGTCAGGAGTTCCAGACCCACCTGGCCAATATGGTGAAACCCCATCTCTACTAAAAATACAAAAATATGCCAGGTGTGGTGGCAGGTGACAATAGTGCCAGCTACTTGGGAGGCTGAGCTAGGAGAATCACTTGAACCCAGGAGGCAGAGCTTGCAGTGAGCTGAGATCGTGCCACTGCACTCCAGCCTGGACAAGAGTGAGACTCCAATTGAAAAAACAAAACAAAACAAAACAAAAAAAACCACTTACTGTGTTGTGCCCTTTTGCTCTCCTTCCATATGTATACTCCAAAGCTAAGGTTGATTTTGGTGGCTCATCTCTGTATAATAAAGGCAGATAGTATTATTGTTGTGGGTGGTGTCAGTTTCTTATGTTATCATCTTACCTGATTCATTTTCCCTTCCTCTTAGAAACTCTATTAGAGAAGTTACTTTGTATAATAGCATTGAGATAAATTATATGTACTAAATAAATGAACCTTCAAAACACCATCTTAGTGGATTTTAATGGTGCCTGCATGATGTGGTAGCCCCTAAAGGCAGAGCTGTGGCAAATGGAGAATGCGTTGAGGCTGGCAGTGTGGATGGCCACATTGGGCACTAGATCTCCACATCCAGGCCATGTAGGAAGCACTGACATTGGGTTTATGCTCAGCCTTGATTTAAAACATCAATGCAAGACTTGGCCAGGCATGGTGGCTCATGCCTGTAATCCTAACACTTGGGAGGCCAAGGCGGGTAAACTGCTTGAGTTCAGGAGTTTGAGACTAGCCTGGGCAACGTAGCAAAACCTTGTCTCTACAAAAAAAAGTAGTGCACGCCTGTAGTCCCAGCTACTCAGAAAGCTGAGGTGGGAGAATCGCTGGAGCCTAGGAGAATTGCTTGAGCCTGGAAGGTCAAGGCTGCAGTAAGCTGAGATCGTGCCACTGCACTCCAGCCTGGGTGACGGAGTAAGACCCTGTCTCAAAAAAAACGAAAACAATGCAAGACTTTAATACAGTCCTCTATCTTCAATCACAGTTCAAATATGGGTATCATTTAGCTAGTGATAGTTAATAAATCATATCAACAAATCCTTAAAGTCAGTAATGATTAGGAAAACATTAAAACAATTTGCTGAATTATTTATACTATAGCTTATATTGCTGGTAAGCAGTTTATGATATATATTTTTATTATGGTAAAGAATGCAAAATAGAACTTAACCATTTTTAAGTGTACAATTCAGTAGTATTAAATATATTCACGTTGTTATATAACCTGTATTCAGCACGTTTTCATCCACAAGACTGAAACTCCATACCCATTAAACAACTCCTCGGCCATGCATGGTGGCTCACACCTGTAATCCCATCACTTTGGGAGACCAAGGCAGGTGGATCACCTGAGGTGAGGAGTTCAAGACCAGCCTGGCCAACATGGTAAAACCCCATCTCTACTAAAAATATAAAGAAAAATTAGCCAGGTGTGGTGGTGGGTGCCTGTAATGCCAGCTGAAGTAGGAGAATTGCTTGACCCTGGGAGGCAAAGGTTGCAGTGAGCCAAGACCGCCCCATTGCCCTCTAGCCTGGGCAACAAAAACGAAACTCCGTCTCAAAAAAAAAAAAAACCCTCATTTTCCCTTCCCCCTAGTCCTTGATAACCACCATTCTACTTTTTGTTTCTATGAGTTTGATTATTCTAGATATCTCATATAAGTGAAATCACACAATATTTAATTTTTTTTTGCAGTGGCACAATCTTGGCTCACTGCAACCTCTGTCTCCTGGGTTCAAGCTATTCTCATGCCTCCCAAGGAGCGGGGATTACAGGGGCCCGCCACCATGCCCAGCCAATTTTTGTATTTTTAGTAGAGACAGGGTTTCACCATGTTGGTCAAACTTGTCTCGAACTCCTGACTTTGTGATCTGCCCACCTCGGCCTCCTAAAGTGTTGGGATTACAGGCATGAGCCACTGCGCCCAGCCAGAAATTTTCTTTTATCAAGCAAAATGCTACTTTTTTTAAGACAAAATTTATAAGATCTGATATTTAACCTAAACTTTGTAAAACTGCCCTTTTCCTAAGCAGACTATTAAGGAATTGAAATGATTACTTTTCAAGTCAATGTACTATTTTGTAGTATTTTCTCCTAAGCTGGTGTTGTATTAGATGATTTGTTTATGACAGGAAACAGCAAATGTGTCTAAAAAGACCCATGATTCCTGGAGATGGAAAGACAAAACAGGTTTTACTGTTGATAGTTCCTCTGAGAAACGATTCTGCTGGTGAAAGAAATTACACAAAACTAGGCATTTATTATTTTTATTCTTTAATAATATTTTTCAAACGAGTGACATTTCTTTAATGTGACCTTAATACCAAATTCCATCTCTTTTGACGATTTGGGAGAAGTTATAAGAAATATGTATTGAAATGAAGGGAACAGAGAAATATCTTCCAAAATTGATTGAAGACTTTCCTTATCAGCTTCCTGCAACATCTATCAATCATAACCCTAAACGTTAATCTGATGGCCTGCTTCTACAGTGTAGGTTAGGAAGTATATAAAAGAAATGATAAAATATCCAGTTTGAAGACCAACATTGTGCTTCAAAAATGTATCCCCGAGCAACTAAAGCTTCCAGTGAATGTTCAAATAATCATAGATTCGGCAGAATAAAATAATTTAAATACCAGAGTAGCACAGCCAAAAAGAAGGTAAACACATTATAGGCTGGATCATTATGATAACATTTCTCCCTCAAATAGGGAAACCCAGTATTAATCTCATAGCATTTTTGGCTTATTGTTAGTTTTATCTTTAAAGGTGCTCTTAAAGGTTATACTAAGGATTCACTAAGAATTAAATATTTTGTTTGAGTCTTAAAATCATTCCCCTTCCTTATGTCTTCTAGGATCTAACTTGCCCTATACAACTACAGTAAGCATCAATGTAGTTTAAAGGTTAATATAACACTTACCTGTCAAGACACCTTAGAATAATAGTAGTCTTTCCCTGGAAATTAAAAAAGAAGGAATACTGTGTTAATGTCATTCATATGTAAAATTGTATTATTATTCATAATTGTGGCCCAAAATAGCTTTTTAATCTCTTGAATGATAAATTACCTGGAAACTAAAAACTAGAAACTTTCAGAATTGTTCTAAAGTTTGATAAGTGGAAAAAGTTAACTGTCAACTTTCCATCACAGTGTAACTACACTGCTATTATTATAATTATAAAGTCCCACAGATGACAAATACTAGCAAACCATACCTTACTTAAGTGGTCAACTTGGCAGCTGTCTTAAATTTTTCTCTACTCATCAATGCTAATTACTGGTTATGCTGATGCTTAGTGTCTTTTAAAATGTTTTAATTCCAATTGTTGAAGTGGAAATAAAGAAAAAGGATAACACACAAATAAAGGACGCATTGCAAATATGTTCAAAGTAAGCAGCAATTCAGACACTGCACTAGAGCAATTTGTTTTAATTACAGAGGATGTATTCATTCCAAGTTTCTTTTTCTTTTATTGTATTTTTGAGACAGAGTCTCACTCTATCGCCAAGGTTGAGTACGGTGGCATGATCTCAGTTCACTGCAACTTTCACCTCCTGGGCTCAAGTGATTCTTGTGCCTCAGACTCCTGCGTAGCTGGGATTACGGGTGCACACCACCACGCCCAGCTAATTTTTGTATTTTTAGTAGAGACAGAGTTTTTCCATGTTGGCCAGGCTGGTCTTGAACTCCTGCCGACCTTGGCCTCCCAAAGTGCCACCACACCTGGCCCCAAGTTTCTTTTCAGGAATTCTGGCCTAACTGCTACTACTAGTTATGGAACTTAACTTCACAGTTTAGCCAGGGACTACTAGCTCTGTGGTTTACATCATTTTTAAAAAATAGTAAAAACCTTTTTTTTTTTTTAAAAAAAAAAAAAGACCCCTTACAAGGAAACAGATAAAAGAGAAACAGCAGGGCAAGCTCCACTGGAGGAAACCTTCAGGCTCCAAAGAAAATAATTTGAAAAACTCTGGATTGTCAAAAACACAGAACATTTAATATATGTGTTTTTAGTTTTACTAAAAAACCTATAGTTTTTAATCAAAAGAAGATAATTACTTCAGATTACATCTGGAATATGATCAAATTGAAGAATTGTTTTGTAATGAGATATATCAAAAAATAACTGGGCCAGGAATAGTGGCTCATACCTGTAATCCCAGCACTTTGGGAGGTTGAGGCAGGTGGATCACAAGGTCAAGAGGTGCAGACCATCCTGGCTAATATGGTAAAACCCCGTCTCTACTAGAAATACAAAAATTAGCTGGGTGTGGTGGTGTGTGGCCTATAGTTCCAGCTACTTCGGAGGCGAAGGCAGGAGAATTGCTTGAACCCGGGAGGCAGAGGTTGCAGTGAGTTGAGACTGCCTCCAATGAACTCCAGCCTGGCAACAGAGTGAAACTCCGTCTCAAAAAATAAATCATTGGAATAGTATAATATAAAAATGTACATTATTGAAGGATGTTTACTGGCTGGTGTTATATCAAACTGAATAACTAAAAAAACCCAACATGTTCCCAAATAGGGGGCTGGCTAAATTAATTATGGTAATCCATACAATAGAATAATATACAGCTATTAGGAATGACAATATAGAAATATTCTTACTGACATAGTAAGACATTCATAATAGATTAGCATGACTCTGTTTGCATTAAAAAATACCTTTTCCTGTTTCCTTGAAGTACACACACACACACACACACACACACACACACACACACACACACAGTGAGAGAAACAAACACACAAATAAATTTAGAGGGACATTAGTCTGTTAATAATGATTATTTCTAGCTGATGGATTTGCAAGTAAGTAATGTTTTTAAGAAAATTGGGATTTTCTAATTTTCCTACACTGAACTTGTATCATACATAGTATACTATAAAAGTTTTAAATTAATAAGAGCTACATTACTTAAAAAGTAATGTACTCTATATATAAGAAAGTAGAATAAGAATTGGAAGGAATTTTAGATAATATCTAGCCAATTTCCTCACATTTTCATGGTACACTAGTATTGATTTAAATCACCCCCCCTTTTTGTTTTGGAGACCAAGTCTCATGTTGCTGAGGCTAGAGTACAGTGGCACCATCTTGGCTCACTGCAACATCTGCCTCTAGGTTCAAGCGATTCTCATGCCTCAGCTTCCAGAGTAGCTGGGATTACTGGCTTGCCCCACCATGTACAGCTAACTTTTTGTATTTTAGTAGAGACGGATTTCACTATGTTGGCAAGCTAATCTCTAACTCCTGGCCTCAAGTGATCCACCCACCTCGGCCTCCTAAAATGCTGGGATTACAGGATTGAGCCATAATGCCCGGCCTTAAATCACTTTTATTACAATCTCCTATAAATGTATAGTACTATGTGGTTACAATTCCAAATTAACATAAACTAATCCAGGAACTGAAATCAAGTTTTAGATTATCACTAAAATTACAACCCAAAATTTAAAAATTCATTAGTACACTGTGGTCCCCTGAGAATGCACCCATAGTCCTGTTGGTTTCCTAATTCAAGAAACATGGACCTAGTACAAGTTCATTTAGAGACCATCGAAATGAATCCCATCTTCCCTCTCATTGCCTCAATCACTCCAGATGTCCAGTCCTCTCCTCTGACCCATTATTCCTGGAACTCTGAATTTCCTAGTTCTTTACACATCCCTTAATTTGGCCCAATAATCCCCTCTTGTCCCTTTCCTCCTCTAAAATCCTTCTACTGTATGACTCCAAGTCCATGACTGGCAAACTCCCTGATATATCAACCTTTTTCAGAATATTCTCTCTACCTGTTGGCCTTAACTAAAATATGACTTTCCCTGAACCCCGCCCTCTGCAGCCTTGTTAAACGAGGCTATTTATTCTCACTATCCTACATACTTTAGGGTCCTCCTTGCTCCCCAGTGCCACCCATAAACAACTACTCCACCTCCCTCCTCTTACAAAAACCTCAGAGGCTTGTATCAGTTTACCACCATGGTTGCTGTCACCTCTTTTGGCTCACGATCTCCCTTACTTTGCAGTTACTGTCACGAATCTTCCTCATACCCACATAGGTCTTGGCAATTCACCTGACATCCCGACCTCTCACTGCATGCCTCCTAATGGAGGCCTTTTCCCTCACTCTACTTCTGCCACAGTCACTTCCAAGGTTACATCTTGAAGCATTCCAGTTTCACTGGCAACTGCACTGCTTCCAAACTCGCACGTACACACAGCACATCCTCTAACCGCTTCTTCAGTCATCCTCATAGTAATAACTCTTTGGTCTTCACGAAGGTCTCGAATGTCCATTGACACACCCTCTGCTAACAGTCGCTCCTACGTCAGCTTCTTCCTACCTTCACTTCTCTCCTTTTCCATCTCAGTGTCCATAGTTTATCATTACAATAATCTCTGGTAAATATCATCCATGCCCTGGGCTCCCTCACTTTGCATTGCACTTGCACCCAGCCAGCAAAGCCACCCCAGGTGATCACCTTCCTCTTCCATGCCTGCACCCATGCAAGTCATGGTGGAGAAAAACCATGTACACTGGACAGATCAGTATCATATTAACACCCATCATCAAAATGGCAGTCAGCAATGACTGACAATCCTACTACATTTCCTAGTATGATCTTTCTCCCATTTGTCGCAGTATCTGTTTCACACATTTTTCTTGAACATCTCAGAATACTCAACACTCTTAACCCGAATTACTTCTCACCCTTCCTGCTTTAGTCACCACCCTCTTTGGGAGGCTTTCTTATTCTCCCAACTTTTGGGATGAGTTAAGTGCCCTCTCTGTTTTCCTCCACAGCATTTGTCTCTAGGTATTGTCATTGTTGGTATACAAGTCTTCATGCACAAGTTCCTTCCCAGTAAAGAATGTCTTTCATTCCTGTTTCCACAGTGTCTAGCAGAATGGTTAGCATATTAAAAGAAGACATACATGAGGCCAACAAACATATGAAAAAATGCTCATCATCACTGGTCATTAGAGAGATGCAAATCAAAACCACATTAAGATACCATCTCACGCCAGTTAGAATGGCGATCATTAAAAAATCTGGAGACAACAGATGCTGGAGAGGATGTGGAGAAATAGAAACACTTTTACACTGCTGGTGGGAGTGTAAATTAGCTCAACCATTGTGAAAGACAGTGTGGCGATTCCTCAAGGCCTTAGAAACAGAAATTCCATTTGACCCAGCAATCCCATTACTGGGTATATATCCAAAGGACTATAAATAGTTCTACTATAAGGACACATGCACACGAATGTTCATTGCAGCACTGTTTACAATAGCAAAGACCTGGAACCAACCCAAATGCCCATCGATGATAGACTGGACTGGGAAAATGTGGCACATATACACCATGGAATACTACGCAGCAATCAAAAATGATGAATTGGTGTCCTTTGTAGGGACATGGATGAATCTGGAGAACATCATTCTCAGCAAACTGACACAAGAACAGAAAATGAAATACACATATTCTCACTCATAGGTGGGTGATGAACAATGAGAACACATGGACACAGGGAAGGGAGTACTACACACTGGGGTCTATTGGGGGGAATAGGGGAGGGACAGCAGGAGGGGGAGCTGGAAAGGGATAGCATGGGGAGAAATGCCAGATGTGGGTGAAGGGGAGGAAGGCAGCAAAACACATTGCCATGTGTGTACCTATGCAACTATCTTGCATGTTCTGCACATGTACCCCAAAACCTAAAATGCAATAAAAATAATAATAATAAAAATAAAAAATAAAATAAAACATGTTTGATCAATGTCAACCAAATGGATGAACAGATGGTTGGAAGGAAAAAGAGGAGGCACCAGGGCAGTTGGCTTCTTTGGTAAAGGGTAACTAATTGAACAATAGAAGCATTAATTAGTTCTCTTCATCTACCAAAATAATGTTCTTCATGAAGCAGAATCAGATATTTTTTTCTTTCT